ATGGGCCTATGGCATAGTACACACCTGGTATGAGTCTAGAACATCTGAAACATCGTAAACCGTGCTTGCAATAACTTTGAGTGTGCCCATAAGACAGATAGCGATGGCATTGATGGCTGATGTGAGCTTTTGGATGAATAAGGTTTTTCAACAACTATTTTGTGTGGTTTTACACATAAATTCTGTAAATTTAATTTTAAAATTTTAAAATTTTAATTGACATCAAGTTTGAGGCAAAACTGAAAAAATTACTCACACCTATTTCATATAAGCCGGTGGTAGTTTTTAAGAAATTATACGAGTGTACTGTGTAAGTTTTAGTCTTGTTTGAAAGTGTGCTTTCATATGAGTCGTCTTGTATAGCGAGAACTGAGTACTGATTTGGACTTGTGAATATTTTTTTTTCTTATCCTCTACCTTAGGAGAAAGCAAAAATGACAATAGATTTCTTTAGTTACATTTTTATTTGTCATACCACGATTGTTGGACGATTGGGGCGCCATTATACGTAACAGCAGATATTATTGCGCATGAAAAACCTATAACAAAACGAATTTAATGCGTAATGCGTTCATTGTGCAGTTGCGATAAGCAGTGATTTAAAGATTACTTGAACAGTTGAATTTAACCAATCCATTTTTATAGATTTGCTTTTTGAATAAGTTTGAAACTATTTATTTATTCATATTTTTATAATATTTTATTATTTCATCATGATTTCTTTTTCATTTTATTGCAATAAACACTTATTATTATTTGTAAGGAATTTATACAAGTTATTATCTAGTTATAATTTATAAATAATGGTGGATAAGTTTGAAATCAAATATTTTAAGAAAAATCTTTAATTTATAATTATATAAAAAAATTATATTTTACATTTTTACGACCATAGATAACTTTTTAGTAGACAACATCAAAGAGAATCTTCCCTCTTCTACAAGCTGAAACATTTAAATAAATTCTCACCTTTAATCTTCCAAAATTATTAGAATATTTACGTAATTTTGATGAATTTCATCAAAATTTAACTTGAAATGTATTAAATAAAAAAAAATCTGCGTACCTAACTGTATCATTTCTAGAAAAAAGTAATATTTAAAAAAAAATTAAAGAAATCACGGTATTTCATTGTATATGTGAATTATAACAAAAACATTAGACTGTTATTTATCGAAAACTTTGCTGCATAAATATTCCCATTTTCAATCATTTTTTCTCAATTTTCCCTATTATCTTTTAAATAATTGGGGATTTTTTACTTGCAACCTCTGAAAGAGCCAACTAGAATACAACTCATCATCTGAATCCGCCCACAATATTAATAAGAATGGTTTATTTTTATTGCTCCGACATACACCAGAATAAAACCAATAATATTATATTCATCCTTCTGCTCAGAATCAAATATAAAATCATATCAATAGTACCCAGTAGCAGTTATTAATAAATGCTTTTACCGGTGGATAGTTCTCGAGTATCCAATAATAAGATGATTTTTATAGGTAATTATTTTGATTTATGGAAATGTCTACACAGTTCTATTCTAATTCATTCGTCCAAACAAAACAATCGTATTCAACCGAATAATTTAAATGGTAATGAATAATACAGCAAAAATACTCTATGGAAGCAATTTAATATTTTTAAAGATTTAAAAATGAAAAACGAACTTATTGTACTCACATAAACCACCCTTAATAAAACGATAAATCTGATTTCGAGAATTTCATTCATCGGTGATGGGGCTCGGTAGGCATCTTATTTTCAATAGGTACCAATAATTATTCATCTTCGCGACAACTTATTAGGGGGTGTATCGTTTTTTTTCTTTTTTTTTTTACTTTTAATATTTTATCGATTTCAAAACGTGCAACGTATGTTAAAATGACTCGTGTAAATCTCTTAACACCCATTAATTAAGTTTTTAGGTTTATGTAAACAGTAATGGCGGCCCGGTGGTCGTTGTCGTCACTGACTGCAGTTACTCGTCATCAATTTTTTTTTTTTTTTTTTGTACACCATTCCTTGTTAAATTATTCAAATCGATTTTTACTGCAATCGCATGGTCCCATTTGTCTTTCGGACGCAGCGATCGACCATAAAACCATTATGTACGATATATAAATCGCGCTGTCGTTAACGCTTCCCATTGCTCCTCGCCCGAGAACTCGGTGGCCCTAAACCGAGATAAATTGCCGAGATTTACCCATAATTATTTACGCGCAGGAGTCAACGGCGGCGGGTCACTCGGGGTTTTTATCTCGCAGCGTGCGATTTTTGATGATTGGTATCTTCGATACCGCCAATCCTCGATCTAGAGATGAACACACTATTTTTTTCCCCCTTATTTTGGCCGCGTTTCAAACGACTTTTTCGAGATGAAAAAATAAATAACGATATTACAGTACAACACTGTACCTTAGTCCGAGTGCGGTGCCAACAGCCGCTTTTCATTTTTATCTAATCATACAATAGCATAGTCTAAATAAAAGTATATATTTGCATAACAGACGTTTTGGCTATTTTGAGGGACCAATATTTGAACGAGTAAATAATTTAAGAAGAATATACTCTATACAAGATATTTATAATACCTTAGATGCCACTGAAATTTCTAATACGAAAAAGCTACAAAATCTGAATTAGGACTCGTAATTTAAAAATCGGAGAGGATGGTAATAGCTTGCTCGTAACCCTCCCTGCATACGTTACTCCGCTGCAAAACACTAGACGCTGATAGATACCTACCTAGCAATCTAAATCAACCAACAAATTATTAATTAAATAGGTATGTAGGTCATAGAGTAAGAAATAAATATAAATGTACATGAGGATTAGATTACAAAATAGATCTCGTCATATAATTTTTACATAAATTTGAATAGGTTACCTATAATATTAGTAGGTACCTACCTAGTACCTACATAAATACATAATATGTTATTACATATTATTAAGTTTCATTAAAGTCGTAAAATAATAAGCATATTTTCAATGCTGTTGTACAAAACATACATTATTACATAAACATAATTAAAATATTAAAATAGGTTAGGGCTATATTGACATTTTTTTAGATTTTATTTGAAAATATTGAAACACTTCCCACTTTGTAAAACCAATAGAAAACAAAAAATTATTTAATTTATTTATATTTAGATAGGTACTATGTAATCTTACGTAGAATCTAGTTTTTGACCAGTTGTCAATAAATGACTAAATGTTATACATAATTCTTTGAATTTTTGAACAAGACTCAGACTGCCTATCTTGGTTACATTTTATCTTAAAAATTAGAATCAAACCCCTAGATGGTCTCCATAATGAATTTTATTTTAAATCACAAAAATCAAATATTAATTGTTTGAATAGATATACATAGCGTTACAATAATTGATTACAGAAAATAGATTAGTTATGACTGAACATAATTTTCTGCATTGTAGGATATAGGTATTATATATTTAGTAAATATCATGTAAATTTGATATATATATATGTATAATATATATACGGCCAATCTCAATGTTCAATTTTTATATTTTCTTTTTTTAGAAAGCAACAATTTATATAGTTACCACAAAAACAATGCATCTAAATAAAGAGAAAAAGAAGTACCAAAATATAAAAAGTCAAAGTCCCCCCTCATGAATAATATTTTAAATTACAATAACTAATAGTAAAATTTTTATGTTACGTATAATATGTAAAAATAAAATTTAAACATCTAATCAAGGGACGAATTTAACGATTTGCTGCCCTCTATGCCAAATAAAATTTTGCCACCCTTATCCTAAAAACACTTCTGTACAACAAAATTTCCAACATAATAACATTTTCTATATATAATACAATAATTTTTTTCATTTAACATAAGTTTAATAAAAACATTTTAATTCAAATCTTATATTTTCTCTTTAGGTATTTTTGTATAATAAAAATGTAGGTATAAAAGAAAAAGAAAGTAATAAATGTATCAAATAATAATATTATTAATAGTTAATTAATCATATAAGTAATTTTAATGTTAATTATTTATTTTGAAATTGAAAAATTCGAGAAAAAAAATAAATATTTTAAATTTTTCAATGTAAACAAATAACTAAGTAATTAATATTAAAACAATAAAAAAAAAATTTTAAAAAAAAACTTTTAATTTATTACTCAATTCTACAATGATCATTATTTTAGTTAACAATTTAACTTTTTCATTAATGAATGATAAATAAATTTCACCGGAATTCAATATTTGATTTTTTTGAATTCAGTTTAAATTTTTAAACGGATAATCTATTTAAAAACAATTAATCAGTGTTTGTTTTTATTTCAAATAAAATTTCAATAAATTCAAATATTTAAAACAATTATGATTTCAATAAACACCATTCCCCTTGCATTAAATCAGAGTATTTTTATAAATCATAAAATTAGTATCGATTAATATTACATATCAACTCTTGATTGTTTGATTAAATATATCAGATTAGTAAATGATACAAAATAGTATAAAATACATATACGTAAGCATTAAAAAAAAAACAATTTTATACTGACTGTTTATTATTACACACATAATCAAAAAAAAAATCTCATTTTCAAATATTCAAATTTACATTTTAAATAATTATTATATACATTATAAAAAAAAAATCATATAGGTACCAATATTTAAATAATTAATCAAGTACAAAATTAAACATATTTAAGATTTTAAACTAGGTAGTTTATTATTTTTGAGTTCAATATAAATTAAAAAATGTTGAAATATTATCAACTTTAAAGCTTCAAATCTTTGTCCATCAATGTTAAAATACACATACACATATATTATAACTAATATTTTAAATAGAATACAATATAGCAGATATACGTCACATTCACAAAAAAAAAAAAAAAAACTGACAACAGAATTAGTCTTTAATGTAATAATTTAAAATGACAAAATAAAATAATAAAAAAACTCACATTACAATACAATATTAAATCTTTAATTAATAACACATAAATAAATCCAATTAATCCTTTTATATTAAGATATATATAATTAACTGATACATAAATGTAAGTTTTGTAAATGTGAATATATTAGTTCTCCATCTGAATTTTGTTTAGAACTGGAATCCATACCAAACCAACTAAAAAAATTTAAAGTAAATAAGGTAAGTATAATATAAATATTAAATGTGATAAATAATTGTAATTAAAAAATGATTCTAAGCATAGCATGGTTTATCAAAATTAGCATTGGATAAAACTTATTTTGTAACTTATACTGCTACAAAAATTAGGCAAGTGGGTATTACACTCTGCTATACATTAACACGTTGACTACCAGATACCTGCAGGTGATCCAAGTCATATCAGCGCATGTCAGGCTATACCATTTTTACATAGGCTGTCATAAATGTTTACATTTATAAAAATAGCTTCAGTTGTTCAATTTTAAAATTGATATTTTTAGAACCAGTTGAAGGATTTCAATGTTTTTTTTTTAATGTTCAAATTCTTTTTGTCTGAAAAAGTTAGATGGTTCAATCTAAATACTATTATCTCCAAGCCTTGAAGAATTATATACATTTAATGTTGATGTTAACTTGGGCACACCAAGGACATTTTTCAGTATCATTATAAATTTTTATTTATACTATTGAATTTGAAAAAAAAATTTAAAAAACAAAAAAATTACAATTGTTCCTGCATTTTCTAGATCATTATTGTAGTATCATGAAAAAGTTAATAATATAAATCTAAATTCATTTACGGCAGCCCACGGCTGTAGTCTCCTACAATTGATATGGTGCGACAGTCGGCGGTCTAAAAATTATCAATGCCTAATTATTTTTATACGGACGCCATGGGCTGCATGGCAGTCAACGTGTTAATAATAAATTTTAGGTCACCACCAAGCCAAATTTCTTCACAATAAAAGACATAATTTTGTCGCCGATGGGCATGTGGCAGTCAACATGTTGAGCATCAAAATTCTAACTTCAAATGAATATAAAAAAAATTTTTCTTATAAATTATTATTTTTATACAGTAAAATAAAAACTTAAATCAAATTTTGAATCATCAAATAATTTTTAAACGACACTTCTATATAAAAAAAAAACTAAAGAAATTGAAAATTTTACCATAAATACAAAATAATAACATAAACATTTGGTGAAAATTCAAATACATAGTTATTTGTTTTTGAATTACAAAAAACAAAATCAATTTGCTCTAAATTTGGAGTTATATAAAAATTACCGTTTTTCCATAATTTTTTTTTATTTTTTTGTTATCCCAATTATAAAAGTGTTGGAATTTTTAAGTTTAATCTTTCTAAAGTAGGTACAAACTAAAACCAATTTGAAAATCAAAATCAAAATCACCTCATCGGAATTAAATGAATTTGATTTGAAAACCAAAGTACCTTCAAAAGTTGAACAAGACACAAAAAAACGCATATAATCGTAAAGTCAATGCATTCATCACTTCACTTAGATTCTAAAAAAAAGAAAAAATAGCTAAATATTTCAATGTAAAATCTATCCACTTTACTCCTCTATCCCTATATTATAGGCGTTCAATTTCATCACATGATAACCCGCACATGGTCATTTTATCCTGGTATAAAAAATCTCTACTCAAATTCAATATTTATAATTATTAAATTTATTTAATTTGTTGTTGTTATACTTTTTATTTTAATAGTAAGTCCACATATTAATGATTTAACAAAAAAAAAAATTATAATAAAAAATGAAAACATACCAATATAAAAATTATTATTTTAATTCAAAATTTAATCATAAATATTTAATATTTTTTAGTCGACTTAATAATTATTCTGCATCATGTTTTTGATTTTTTTTTTAAATAAATATTAACTTGATAACGTATCAATATATTTTGTCAACTAAAAATAATAATAACATAACTTGTGTCACGGTAAAATAGATAAGTAGATAACTTTAATGTATAATTCCTGTTTTATTAATGATTTAAAGTACCAAATTCATATAATTATATCTAAAGGTATCTAATAAAAGAAGTTCTATTTGCACTAAGTCATGGTTCAACAAATTGTTGAGTTATATGCAAAAATAAATCTAACCCGTTCATTTAGACAAGTGTGCATGTAATGCAGGGCTAAGACTGAAAATAATATATCACAATAATTAACCATAAATATTATTATATAAAATATTTATAATTATGTTTATTTTTAGTTAACCCTACTTCACAACTAATTAAGTTACATAATAATAATTGAAGAAATTAATAATAATGATTAACATTGTAAAACAATTATTTAAACTCACAAATTTATCATCATTTTCAAGTCCCATTGAATGAATTGTAGTTAATTCTTTTTATTCCTGGAAAAAAAAAGATTAGATAAGTAATTAAATTTTTTACCCAGTCAATTATAATTAGAAGAAAGTAAAATTATTTCAAAATATATTCAATACTAATAGAGTTATTCAGCTTTACCAGGATGATAATATATGTATGTATTTTTATTATTTACTATTAAATTAAATTAACTAAGATACATTTACAAATTTCTTTACGTAATTACAAGTTAGATATACATAGCTAGCATAGACCTCATTTTTTTGAATCATAAATATATAAATATTTAAGTTAATCGATCTATATTAGTTTATATTTGTTTTTTACATTATGTCATTATGTAGTAGTTGTTGATTAGAAAAAACTTAAATTATTTAAGTACATCTACTCAAATTATAGATACAATATGATCATTATTCAGTCACAAAATGGAAAAGCGATTAAGTGTTAATTTCTGAGACAGTAGGAATTTAGTGAATTGTATAAAAAAAATTGAAATAGTTAATGTAAAATGATATTAAAATTATTATAAATTATAATATAATATGTGTCATAATATTTAATATTGAAGTAGCTATGATAAAAAAAAAAAGTGTTTACGCAATTCTTAAATTAAATTGAATAATACCAATTGTATAAAACATTATTTAAAATATATTTTATTTATATTTTATTAATTTATAGTTTTATCTTTTTGAATTTTTAAATATTAATCGAACAAGAAAATTTTCTTACCAAATTTATTTTACTCATAACAGAATTTATTTGTTTGTTGTACATATTTTAATAGCTAAATTGACTTTTTTAAACATATTAAAAAACAAAAAAAAATAAATAAATAATTGGATAAAACATATACCAATAATAAAAAAAAAACAATTGAGGTTATCAAAGAAAAAACTAAGTAAAAATTCAAAGGAACACATTGACTTTAATACTACAGCATCATATAATTTTTAAGTATTTTAACTTTGAAGTACATGTTAAATGTATAACCAGCGGTTCTTAACTTGTAATCCACAGTGCCTTGGGGATCTGTGATACTCATGTCGAATGTCCGCGGCAGCTTTAACACATAACATACATCAATACATAACATATTGTAAATGAAAAGTAAAAAAATTAGTAAAAATATTTGATCAGGGGTCCATGAGATCCACAAAAGGTTAAGAACCACTGGTACGTATTAAAATAATATTAATATTACAATAATACAACTAAAATATATATATCCCCTAATAGCTATATTCATATTAGTAATCTTAAATCAAATACATTTTAACGGTATTGACATAAAATAAAATTTAGATAAATTAATTAGATTTCGGAGAATAGAAAATAATGTGACTATATAATTTGATGTTCCCTACAAACCAAAGTTACCTTAGACCATTATATAACTCGTTTATTTATAATTAAAATTATTTATAAATATATATTCTTACAAATAATTTTGGATATCATGTGGAGATAATCGTTCAAGCAAGACGTAAGAACGGTACAATTTTTCATAATCACCATAAATAGTCATTAAGTTTAATGATAGCATATTATTATCAACTTCTTGGTGTATTTGCTCCGTTTCAGGCTCAATCAAATAGTAAGCATTTTTTTCTGGTCTCAATCTATATAAGTAAAAACATGCAAATAAAAATTAGTCATAATTTTTTAAACTTTTTTAAATGATTTTTAATATAAATTTACTATATTTAAAATACTACCAGTGAAATAAAATATTTCACTATAAATGCTGCAAAAAGAATAATAACAAAAATTTAAAAAAATTTTAATAATTATAATTTGTGAATACATTAATATACATAAATATTTTAGTACACCTATATATATTTATTAATATGTATTAGCTATTAATGGATTAATGTGATTAACTAAGTTATTAAATGTGTTTTAAACTGTAATATAATCATTTTATACTTTAACTTATAATTAATATCCAATGCATGATATTTATTTGATTAGGTACTTTATGATAAAAATTTATTATCTTAATAAATTTATTATTTTTTTATTTATTCATTTATGATAAAAATGATAATATACAACTATACAAAATACAACTTGAAATATTGTTAGTACTTATTTTACTATCAGTTTATCTAAGACATTAACAATAATCTGACTATAATATAATAAAATTATAAGTTAAGACAGATCAAAATCTGCAATAAACTAATAAGTAACAACACATAATGATATTTTTTAGATACCAATAGATATTCTCAACATTTTCAGATATTTTGGAAATCCCTAGTACTAAAATCCCAAATACTATATATTTATTTATTTTATTTTAAATTACTAATATATTATATTGAATATTTGTAAAATAAATAATTAATACAATTAATGAAACAATAAATATTCAAATTATACTGACTTGTAGCCATTAATTTCTTCTAAACTGCAACGCTCCAAACGAACGTAAGGGTTTTTTAATCCTTCAGAAGATTCAAATTTTATGTTGTCTGTTTTCATTCTATAAATAAGAGAAATTAAAAATTTATTATCATATAAAAAAATCAAAATTATAATAAATGTGAATAAAGCAATTATTAAATCGGTAAACATTTTAATTTTAATATTCTTAGTGATAATATTTTTTACGAATAAAATAATACTTGAATATAAAAGGAAAAGTTTTCAAAATAGTCTCAGTATTCAAATTTTTTCTTTAATTGTTTACATCAGGAATCGGCAACCTACGGCCTGTGTAATAATTTTATGTGGCCCACGACTACTATTTATAATTGGTATAAAAATATGAAATATCACATTATGTTAATTGATAACCTAATTTTGTTAATACATACCATATTAAATTAATATAGAAACAAAACAGTGATGAAACTTAATGAAACTCAAATAAATTAAATTAAACTGCAAAATGTAAATAAAATAAAGTGTATGGCCCATGGAAATTTTTTTTATTATTTTTTGGCCCTCAACACCAAAAAGATTATCGACCTCTGGTTTACATGATCAATACAATACAAAATAGTGTGATGATGATTTTAAAAATATTAATTATTAGTATAAAATGTACCTATAAAGTTTTAAAATTTTGATTCATTAATACTGGCTTACACAATTCTGTTAACTCATCATTAGTTATAATATGAACACAATTAATATAATCTATTAAACATATATATGCACACATAATTATTTAAGACTTCATATCCTTTTAACCAGATTATTATAATTAATAATAAATTTCTAAAATTACTCAAAAGAAAAAATAAAAGCTTAAGTTTGATACCAATAATATTTTGGTCACATCAACTAATATACAGTATTTGTAAAACTAGACAAATTATCATTGTATTATTGTTGTTTTTTTTTTTTCATTTTGATTTGTATTTATTATTTTAAATATTAATTACTATTAATGAGTCATAATTATTAATACTATAAATATTCGTTTATTAATGCCAGAGGCAATTTTATAGTACTTAACATAAATTATAGATTATAAAATAAAACTTATTATTAATAGATAACAGACAGTGGCGAACTGAATGACCAAGATACCGGAAAATTTCCTGGTGGGCCCCGTTGATCGTATAAAATATATATTTATTAATATTATTACTATGAAATTATAAATTAAAATATTAGCTAATAAATAATGAGTATGTAATATTATTATTAAACATAAAAACCCAGATTTTTGATTATTTTAATATACAGGACCGTTAGTATACTGAGGGCCTCTAAAACTGATTTTTGAGGGCTGTTTTTTTTTCTCCTAATCCACCACTGATAACAGATAAAATATAATTATTGAAAAAAAGAAAAAATTAGAAATAAAATATATAGATACCTCCTAATAGAATTAATATTTAAGATTAAAACATATTAAAAGACTCATTGATGGAACAGATTAAGATTAAGATGCAAAGAATGGTTATGCCCATAAGATGTGGAATAAGAAGAAATAAGGTAAAGAATATAGCTTTGGACGTAGTAATGACACAAAAATATGTTTGATAAAATATTGAATACATCCAAATGGTAAAATCATTAAGAACAAAAAAAATGAATTTGGTAAAGCGAGAAGAAAAAAGATAATTATTCAAGTGAAACCTAATGAGTGAATAATTGTAAAGCGGGTGATCAATTTTTAATTAATATACAACATAAGAAAAGCATCAACAATTTTGAACGCATTATGATCTTAATTGATCTATGGTCAAATAAGAATTTCAAATAATAAAACCATACTTTAATGTAAACCAACCTAATGTGAAGTGTAAGTAAGCAATTAATGGAAGTAACCATTTTTATGTTACATAAAATAAAATTTAATATTTTGAAAGCTTTGCTAACAAAGAATAAAATAAAAATAATTGTATATTAAATTTATATTATACTATGACCATAAAAAATACCTAGCTATATTTAATGGAGTAAAATATGTCACCATGAAAAACAATGGATTAAATTGAAAAATTAAAACTTGCAGTAAACATAACAATTAGGTAACAGTAGGAGAGAATACCTAAATTAATGAAAGGTTTTTTTAGTTTAAAATTTAAATTTGAACTAAAGCTTCCTCTATAATTATGATCTGGGTGTATTAATTTTTATACCATAGTGCCACAAAAATAACGTATGAAGTCTACAAGTCTGAGAAGAAATTACAGACTTCAAGACTTGACAAACAAAATCAACCAAGTAATCATTACAAGGTATTTAATAGTTGCTTACTTACATGAACCGAGTTGTTGGTCAACAGAATATGGACAAGAACAGCAAAAATTATGGACGACGGTCGACAACAAATTCACTTGCGAAAATACGAACTCGCTGGACACTGCGCAGTATTTTTATTTTAATATTCGATATCGATATTAGCGTCTCGTCACTAGTGAATCGTAATCCGTAGCTGTAATTCCAAACAGTGTCAACAAACAAAAACAGTGTAACAACAATACTATTTAGTAATAATAGTATACATTTGGGCCTATGGTTATTGATTTATTTTTCTGTATATTATATTTATGTCATGTTGTTTATTACTTTTTTTTTTATATAATTACCAGATAACACTTAACAATAATATAATAATAACAAAACACCACCAAAGCTGATATAAAACAGGTATAACAACAATCGAATTCTCGAAAACCGATAGTTTTTTTTTTTTGTATAAACGACCTGGTATTTACCCGGTATAAACCATAATAATATTTAATAATCAATAGAATGTTAATGGTACATGTATAGAACATTCTTGAAATGGTAATCGATCAACTTTACTTACTGATCGGATATTATTCTCATCTCACCAATTCTCACGGTATTACATAATACCATTTCTTTAGGCAAGCGGCTATTAGACTACATAAATACAAAATAAAGTTCACTCATTTCAATTACTACATATAGTTATAATTATAATTATAATACACACAACAGAGCTGTGTATAAATTTTAATCTATAACCTTGGTATCAACCTAACCACAGAATAATAGATAAAAAATGCCCTCAATATATGTTCGTAAATTTGTGATATCAACACTGATATAATGATTATAATGTAATGACCAAAACAATAAACAATTTCGAAAATACTGAAAATTAGTAATTACGGAGACTGGAGATTAAAGAGCCTGTATTGAGTGTATTCTGATTTCAGATTTGTACAATTGTACGCAATTTCGATTAATTAAGCATCTTCATAATCTTAATTATTGAAAAATGTCGGCCAACACAAGTACCCGGGATAAATTACTTGGTTTGCTCGACGACTTTGAACTGTTAAGCAGGTAATATAAAATTTACTCTCTCGGATGATTTAAAAAATTAAATGGTTTATTAAATATATTTAAAATTAAATGTATTATATACACATTTTTTGTACTCGACTATTCTGAATTGAAATCAAAACTGTTAGTTTCAAAATTTTTCTATAAATCATTATTAAAAATAATCATTGGTTTAAAAAAAAAATCTACCTTAGTTGATCGCAAAATATTCAAATAATCTTGAAAAATCTTTTTTAAATCGCATTACCAAGTTTACATGAGTAAATAAAAATGTTAACTAAATTTTTTTTAATTATATACAAATTTTAAAAATATTTATATTTTTCATACTCATAACTTACTTAAAAATTAAAATATCATAAAAAACTAACAAGAGAACTCAAATAATATTCTTAGCTAAAAATTTGATAATATGTCAAATTATTCTATTATATACTAAAAACATACTTTTGAAACTGGTGAACAAAAATTTACTATATTGTATGTGTGTAAGATGGAGATAACACATGCCATTGCGATGTCTTTTTAAAACTCCTGATTACTATAAATACAATTTAATTTATTATATAACTTTGTAAATAATATCCACTACAATTATTTAACTTAAAAATATTTAATTTAAAATTAAAATAATGATAATCTTTTGTTTAAAATTTTACAGAGAATTGATTGAAAATTTGAGTGCTGGGCGACAACAGAAAATAAATGTTCAACATCAGTTACTTCTTACAGAACAACTCGTAGCCACAGATAATGAAATAAAGGCTACATTAAAAGTTGCAGAACACCAAGCGGAAGTAGAAAAAAAAGTAAATGCTATTAAGGAAGAAATAGAAACACAAGACCAACATATCACACAAATGCAAAAACATTTCAAAGAAGCAGAAAATATATTAGTAATTATACTATAACTTTCTTTTCTTGACTTAAAACAGTTACATTGACTTATATTTTAGGCAACAGCTTTATTCCAAGCAAAACAAAAATTACAATCGATCAATAAAGCAAGTAAACATCCTGTGTCCTCAGAAGATCTCATAAAATATGCTCACCGAATAAGTGCTTCAAACGCAGTATGTGCACCACTTACATGGCAACCGGGTGATGCACGTAGACCTTATCCTACTGGTAATATTTAAACACACAATGTAATATGTAATATATTCTATTTTACTTGAATGTTTTACTCATTTTACAGATATTGAAATGCGAATGGGATATTTAGGCAGGTTAAGTGATCTACCACTTAATGGACATATAATGCAACCTCAAGGTCTGGCTGATATGGTGCGATCAAATAATCAAATAGGTACATTGGTATTCATTTTTTGAATAGTCTTGCTTATGATTAAATATTTTTATTTCTCTGAGACTTAAAATAATTGCTTAGACGATCTAAATGTCATCGCTAAAACAAAATAAACGCATTTTGATTATCCCAATGTATATATGTCGCATCCACATAGTGAAACCACTCATTTCATGAACTGGATATCCAGATAGTGAAATTCGTCCAGATCATGAATTTTGACGAAAATACATTATATGGACATCCATTTCATGAAATGGACAATACCTATATTGTGTACTTTGTGTAATTATTATTTTATTATATAAATAATTATATTTTAACAAAAATATTTTTATTTTATTTTTCACGATTGATTATGACATTGACTGTTACAAAGCATACTTTTCAATATTAATAAAGATAATAATGCTTTATCCGTGATCTATATTATATGAAGCTATTAGAGAGATATCAAATTTAATTTCAGTAATTTCACATCCGATATCATATGAATGTTTCTTTATCGAGTATTTGGATGACAGTTGACGGATACCTATGTAACTCCTAAGTTGTTCAAAAAATAACATTTAGTCAGTGTTATACACATAACACAGTTACTATTATGTTTACAGTTTATACGTGTTTATTATTTCATAATAAATAGGCAACATTCAATGTCATAATCAATCGTGAAAAATAAAATAAAAATATTTTCGTTAAAATATAATATACATATAAATGTATAATGATAGTTTATGAACCATTATATAATAAAATAATAATTACACAAAGTACACGATGTAGGTATTGTCCATTTCATGAAATGGATGTCCGTTTCATGAAATGGATATCCATATAATGTATTTTGTGAAAATTCACGATCTATACGAATTTCACTATCTGGATATCCAGTTCATAAAATGAGTGGTTTCACTATGTGGATGCGACATATACAATTTAGCTGAATTTTATTATCAAATTGTTTCATATTTTTTGTATTTTTATTTGTGATGTATATACATTTATTAATTAAAAGATAAATACCTAAGCTAGGTACCTTCTATTTGTAAAATAATAATGTACTTGCCTTTCAATTGTGATGTGTAAACCCCATCTCATATACAATAGGCGTAGTTTCAACCTGTAATGTTGATAGTAATATGACATGCAATGCCATCTTTAAAATCTTGTTTTTTTGCTATAATAATCTGTTTATTAAACTAGGTTTTGAATAATTTATTTTCAATATAAACTATCTACTAATATGTGGTATATAAGTATTTTGTTTTGTTAAAATATATATTCTATAATATGTTCAAAAATTTAAGCAAAATCTAGTTATATATTTAAAATTAAATTTATATATATTCTCACAAACATTAATAAAATTATTAGTGAGGTTAACATACTCAATACTCATTACTCACATTTTAGTTTATATTTCATTTGCAATTGCCAACAGCACTTTTTATAATTGTTATCATACATAAAATATACTGTGGATAAATATTGCTAATGTATCAATTGTAACCAATATTAGTTATTCAATTATTTCATTGTGAATTCTAAAAAAAAAAATATATAGAATTTACAAACATTACTTATTTAAATAGTTTACATTTTAATTTATAATACTATATTAGACAATCTTGAACTTAATGCTAACTACGTTATAGATAGCTTTTAAGATATAAAATATTTAGTTTCAGTATAATATGTCTTATTTAATTCATATAATATAATCTTTTTAATTTATAGTTTTTTTTTTTTTTTATGATCACCAATAATATATGTATTTAACACAAGGTTATAGTTTACAGAGAGTAGGCATTAACTTTTTTTGTAAATTGTAGTAAATTATTATATCATTAGATACGTTATAAAGTTTAAATAAATAAAAAAATATGCTGGTTTAACTTAGTTGTTTTATGAATACTAAACAAGTAAATTTGAACTACTAATTCAATAAAGCCTCAAACTATAAACATTGATTTTTATTAAGTGTTGAATATTTTTATCCATAAAAATATAATTCTAAAAACTTGTGGCCTTATTGTACTAAAATTAAATTAAATTATTTGATTCAGAACATGATGTACTCATAACTGTTATTGTATATTTGTATATTCGCAAATTATTGTCTTATAAAATTACACACATATAGTGACTAAGCAAATTTTATAATTTAAATTGTGAACGATTTTGTAAATAATAATAATAATAATGATTTCTTTTCTAAAATAAATAATATTATATTTAAAATATAATTGTTTTAAATTAATATTTACATTCTTAAAGTTATTTATATATGTACAATAATATAATTAACTCAATTGATGGTTGGAAAGTCTATTAGTTTTTCATTGTTTTATGACTACATCATTTGGTATCTATTTTAATGTGACATTTTTTTATTTAAATATATTAATTATTTGTTTTTAACTAATAAAAACAACATTTATTTTTTAGATCGTCAAGCCTCTCAACAAAATCAATTTGCTTGGCATACAACTGGTGATATGCATATAGGAGTTGGTAGTGGAGTCATAGATACTAGAAATCATTCTAAAGATGTTGCAGAAGATGTTGAAGTTATGTCAACAGATAGTAGCAGTTCTTCCTCTAGTGATTCTCAATAGTTATAAAAATAAAAAATAAATACAAATTAAAAAGTGGTGATAGTATTATTATGTTTACGTATCACATTTAAATATTTTCTATCAATCTTATTTGTACTGACTGAGTTATACACAAAACAAAAAAAAAAAAATGAATAAAAATAAGAATTTATCAAATATAAAAATTATAAGATGTAATGATATTTATATAAAACATTGAGGTGCTCAATGACTCATGAATCTGTGACATTTGGATTGGTATAAGTAAACCCATCAAATTGAGACTGATCCATCGACTGAAGTATGGTTTTATCAACGGGTGTCAGTCTCGGTTTCTCTTTTGTGAAGTGCTTATCAAAATAATGAGTGTCCAAAGGATGATACTAAGAAGAAAACATTGTATTACAATAAAGAAAAACATTGTCGATTGTCAAAAATAATTGTCATTGGTACTTACAACTCTGGGCATGTATGGAGGTTCTAACTCTCGTCTCTCCAATTTACACCAGTCCATTGAACTGAAAAATGGATGTCTCATCACATCCTCGGCCGAATGGTTAGCTTCCAAAGACCCCAGTCGTTTAGAAGCATCTTTATCTAGTAACTTTATGTCCAAATAGTAACGCAATGAAATAACGATTCGAGAACATAAAAATCTAGTCGTGATAACTTACAGCTACCAGAACAGATTTAGAATCGACCGACAAGTATCTTGGATACTGAGGTTGTTCGTTGCATATAGACCAAAACAGAGCGTCCTCGTCACAACCACTGAATGGCGATTTGCCAACTAACATCTCGTACAGCAGAATGCCAAAGGACCACCAGTCTACACTTTGATTGTATTTCTGACCTTTGATTATCTATACAGTAAATCAACGGTGAAAATGTGAGTGCAGATGTACCTACGACGCAATATGTACAAAAAGTAATGTCGTAAATGTCTTACCTCTGGCGCCATATAATCGGGCGTGCCACAAAATGTGTCTGCTGTTTTGTCCAAATATATCTGAAGTTTGCACATTCCGAAATCGGCGATACGCACGTGACCATTGAAGTCTAACAATATGTTGTCCAACTTCAAATCTCTGCGATTAGAATGGGTATTATAATTATTCAGTATGCGACCTCAAAAATTCTTTAGGGATCGATGTAAACAATCATTATGTATAATTCATTTTTAAAATAATTATTGGTCATAGGCACTCAGAAAGGGGCAAGATGGGCATTTTTCTCCTCCCCTTATACTTCAACTATAATATTTATAATTTTAGCCTTTATTTTTAAATGAACATTTCATTGATATTTTGATTTAGGTATAATTTTTTTTTTTTTTTTTTAATGTGCTTTTTACCTTAATTTTGTATTTTGCAAAGAATAAACTTTTTTATTGCACTTTTTGATGTTTAATTTTAATATATCTCTCCTTGATAAATTTCCTACATTCATATAATTGGTTCCATATCGAATGATTATTGAGTTTTTGTGTATTATAACGACATCATATAAAAAGATAACTTGTTTTGTCTAAAAATGAAGCGTCTTGTCACCTTGAGTATAGTATTATCTTAGATCATACTATAATCTAAGACCATAATATTACTCCTTTGAGTTCAACCTCCCCCCCACTGTGCTAAATTACTTAAATACCTTCCTATGTCTTTGCGATTACTCACCTATACACAATGCCTTTTTTGTGTAGGAACTTGAGACCTGACACTATTTCAGATGCATAAAATCGAGATCGGCCTTCGTCGAACCGTCCAGACTGTTGGATGTGAAACATCAAGTCACCGCCATTCAGATACTCCATGACAAAAAACAAATGAGACTGAAAAATTTGGATTTTATAAATATTTTTTTTTCTATGTATATAGGTTCTGAACAAATACACTATTTAATTAAAATTTAAATAACTATACAAAAATCATTTTTTTTTTTTTTTTTTTTTTTTATAATTAATACCTACCTATCAATATTATCGAGGAGGTATAAGTTATAGGCTATAATCGGATTTTTCTTGTCTGATTAACAGTAGTGTTATTTTTAAGGCGTAATTTTTTTAATAATATCTTGAAGGGGTCACGCTACATTAACAACAATTTATCTTAATTTTGTTAAGAATTGGCAAGTGTTCAAAAAATAAACCATAGAAAACTGCATTTCTTCAATTTGATTAAAGTGCTTGATTTCTTGATTGACGTTTAGCAATGTTTAATATAATCATCTGAACCAGATTATTTTGTTGATTTTTAGAAAAAAATAATTTATTTAAAAATAAGAATAAGGTTTATAATAATTTACCTATATAAGTTACTATTAATAAGCTATTAAGCTTTGAACCCAGATTATCGCAATATTTTACGAAATTTAATAGACAACTTAATTTTAATAATTAAATAATAATTCCAAGATATAAAATTGAACAACAACCATTTAAAATTTTGTTATACGTCTTACCCATGTCGCTTGTCAGCACGCTTGCGTATTATTTATCTATTTATTTTCTCTCTTTTTCTCTTTTTGACGAGTTTAACCTATGCACATCATAGCAAATTTACACACAGTAGAACTATTCTTGTATGGTACCTACCTTTAATTTTAAAGTGAATAATTGACCTATTATTAAAATATTTTTGTGCAAATACGCTAAATATCGTAAAAAATCCAACGCATAATTATACAAAAATTTTTCTTAACTTTAAGTACGATAATAGGTCAATTCATTCTTTATACTTAAGTTAAAGCACAAGATTGATTTTACTAAACGAAAACTTTGCTATGTTTACGCGCGTGATTCTGAGATAGAAAAAAAATAGTGCGATGATATTCTCTTATTTTAAAATTATCGTTTGTAAATTATTATGTACTACAAATACGAAAAAAACAATAGCGCAAAATGTTACTTTTTAAAATTAAAATTTAAGTTAAATACATTTATCGTTCCGCTAACATTCTAAAATAAAATAAGTTCGTCCATTAAACATTAAACACTTAAAATAAACTTATATTGTAAACTGAAAAAAAAATGAACTATTGTAATATTATACATTATTAGCGTAATATTTAAAATATAAAATATCTACCTCGGTCTGAAATGTGCAAAACAAATGACACAAGTAAGGATGGTTTGTTCCTAATGCCAAGACTTTGCGTTCGATGAGCGTACATTCAACATCATCATCCTCGAGCACTACGTCTTTTTTCAGGCATTTGACTGCATAATAGTAATCGGTACCTTTGAGTTCAGCCAGTAATACCTAAATAACAAATATTACATGTATATCAATACCTGCAAGTTGCAGTGTATACTGTATAGCCTGTATAGGTATATCACATTAATTATTTGATATTACTTTTTGTTTTTCTACAGTTAGTGTTTTATCAATGATAATTACTACTAAAAATGTAAATCCATAAAACTTTATACTTTATGTCTATGTATATATATATTCGTTAAATATATACTTATGAAAGAATAAAAAAAAACTTAGGCACAAATATCAATATGAACTAAAATCAAAATTTCAAATTTTCCAATCTTATTGTCCATAGAAATAAATATTAGTTATAACCATTGATCAATGATATTATTTATTATTATAGTTATTATATATTATCCAAACACTATAACATAAGTATATATGGTAAATTAGTTGAAGTTTTGTTATTTTTTTGTAATGAATAAGTAGTAAATCGAATAGGATAGCTGGTCTAACATTAGAATTATTGTAGTTATTTGATTATTATAAGCCTATTTCAATGTCTCCACCTTCACTTTCAAAACGTAAGCTTTTTACCTAACTTAACGTTACGTTTGTGCATAGTATGCACAGAAATATCTACCAAATCTCATCATTTACGAACAAAACTAGCAATTTATCTCAAAAATTGAGGAAGGAGGGTATTGGAAACGGAGCACCAATTTTTAATATTTTTTATAATTATTTTATTAAATATTATAGTTGCTTACACTATTTTATAGGTACTTAAAAAATAAAAAATATAAATTCATATAAAATTGCAAAAATTAAAAAATTTTGTTTTAGATTTAAGTATGATAGGGCTACATATAGATAACCACGGATTTTTAAATTTTATATTTATTTTCGACAAAGCCTTTAATATTTTAAGATGTTTTGGTAAGATTTAGCCCATTTTTATTCTAAAGTTTCTCTCGTAAATCGTAACTACAATAATATCAATTCTTAATTTTATATTTTTGTAGTTTTTCTATACGAGCTCTTAAATTTTTCATGCGCTTTCACTTCCCATACAAGAATCAAAAATAGACTATCAGATTTACTTTATTTTTATCATTTTTAATACAACAACCAGTGTTTGTTGAAAATACATAATATAACATACATAACGATGTATAATAGAAACATACAATTTATGATTTATTACGTTGCTCCATACCTTTCCAAAACTGCCTTTGCCAAGCACTTTCAAGAAGTTAAAGTCGTCAACTGCATACTTCCGGAACCGCGGTATACTAGTGGCTGGCGGCACTACCCGTTTAGGCCTTGAATGATGTCGATAACTGTAAGAACGGAGAGATCGTTCAGCTCCTTCCACGTTACCAGCACTGCCGCTGATTTGATATGAATTTGTCACTGCGTCCGATGACGACGACGAGTCTAAATCCACGGGTGACACAACAAAAAACAACAGTATAACGTTAGCTAAAATTTATCTTATAATGAAATATAATATTATAGTACGATTTAATACCAAAATTCAAAAACGTTAGGTTAAAGCGACTATTAAAATGTTACGTGTATTATATTATATTCACCATATACCTAGTAACTATTACAAATATATGTTGTGCTACATAGTCTTCAATATGCTTAAATTCCACCTCGACATACTCAATTTTAATACTTGGGATACTTCTTAGTTGGTGTAAGTAAAACGACGATTTATTTGATACGTCTACGAAAGTTCAGATAATGGGCGTTTTTAACAATTTATTATTGTTATTTATAGAACAATTTATAGCATAGAACAGTTCTAGAAAACTCAGAAAATAATTGAGGTTAATAAAACTGCTAACTGGGAGAGATGAACCAGAATAAATTTAATATATTTTTGAAATTTATTCTGAATGTATTTATAGAATACGTTGCAAAGAATATATTTTGTTTACCGGGAGTTTACTTCTTTAAAGTATGTGCTTCTACAAATTCTAGATAAATTGTAAGGCTATTAAAGATATGCATACCTATCCTACACGGTGCGATTATTACACCAATTTTTATTAAATTAACTAGAAAGATAATTATAGTTTTAATGTGGTCCGCCAAGATAAACTGTTTGAGCACATATCAACTTACAATGTTTGGTACAGTTTTTTTTTTAATTTTATTTATAACATTTTTAATCCTTTTCGTTGTAAATTGTTTTGTAAAATAAATATATTACGGAGAAAAAAATCAATATAGTATGATATTTTCAAATATGCATAATATAAAGATTATAATCGCTGATTAGGTATAAATTTCATCATAAATACGATCTTAGTAGATACTCTAAGTATATATTTTCTGAATGTTATTTCTGTCGACTATACGTTAATATATCGAATCGGTATAATACCTACACAGTTAATAGGTACGGACAATATTAGATAAATATTTTTAAAAGAAGCGTGTTATTTTTAGGTAAAAATTTTAACTTTATTAGAACACGGAAATTCGAGCAAAACACGAAGGTGCACATCTGAAACAATTTTTATATTTATAACACAGAACAGTGCCGAGACACAGGAGGACAAATGCCAAAAAAAAATATCAACACTTGAAACGATGTCGGCGATGATTTCAGAACAATTTATGACATTATCCTTCCGCCACGGACCGATGAACCAATGCACAATATTATGTATAAATAAGTTATTTTCATGGATTATTAGAATCCAGTAGTCTAGTTTATTAATACGTCAACAAATACACACGTTTATGTTTGGTATGAACATAATTGTTTTTGTTAAGGCTGATTAAAAATACTAATAGTAATAATCACACAATATACAACAGTGTGAAATAAATTGTACTGTATAGCAAACTCGCGATAAAAAAAAAAATAACAACAATTATAATATACATATTTTTTAAAAAAAAGCATACAAACAAACAAAACCCATTAGTAGTTTAACAGTATATAAATTTTTTTCGGACGTTTATTTCTAGTTTTTAAAATGTTATTATGATAAAAAATGAAAGTAGGTATCTAAATGTATACAGGATGATTTTTGAACGTAAGCCATTGTCTCCAGGTTGGAGGAAAACAATTCATGTTTTTTAAATAATGATTATTTTGGGTTGAACGAATCGCCCTGTATATATTAGATAGATTTAAACTCGCACGGTAATAATATTTGAATTTTCGCAAATTTTAACTGCTTATTGTATTAATACAATGAATGAAAAGTACACATGCTTCTGTAGTTTGAGACGACGTGGATAACAGAAATAAAAAGAAAACTTCGAAAAATGTATATTTTTTCTTCTCGCAGGCAATTTTATATTACATGAGATACTATAATATAGATTATTCATAGGTATTAGGTCGGGGTTACCTCGTTTAAGCGTAGCTAGTGCTTCGACTACCAATTTTTGATTGACGCCGCATAGGTTTGGCATGAGCTTCTCGCATTTCCTATGGCAGTTGACGTCACAATCTAATCCATAACACACACACAACCCCCCACAGAATACCCTTTCTGATATTATAAACCAAAAATAAATTAAAACACAGTCATACATATTATTATATCGTATAACACAGTAGGTATATTATACATTGTCGCGGTTCAACTTTGCAGAAGGACTTTCGATTGGACATAACATATTACACTATTATGCGCGTATGTACTTGAGGGGCAGTGGACTTTTTACCTGGTGGCTAGCTCATTTTATCTACATACCTATATGAGTATTTAAAATACGTGCGGTTTAGAAAAGCGCGTTGGCGGAAGAAAACCAAAATAAAAAATTTAAAAAAACATGCATACGTTGATTATAAATTATAATACGCGTAGTAGTCAACAGTGTTTTAAAGTATTTGAGCAAATGTATTTAAATACTTTTATCATCAAGTATTTAAAATAGGTACTAATTTTTTGTATCAAATTATTAATTTCTGCTAAACGCATAGTTTATATTTCCAGGTGGTCAATTTCTTTAATTCCGTGCGCCTATTAAGAACCATGATAATATCGTGATTATAAATTTCAATTGAACGTAAAATTATCGTTTTTATAATGTCAAAAAGACAAAACGTAATTCCACAGAAATATTATCCAATATTAATCAATTGAATAATATACGAATAAGTAAATTAAATTTTTTTTCTTTGATTACGCTATTACTGAAATGTATAGAAAAAATTGTATTCAATAAGTATTTTAAATACATTTTCAAATTGTCCTTTACAACACTGAGTACTGAATACATAGTAGTAGTAACAGTAGAAGTAGTAGTAGTAGTAGTAGTAGTAATACTAGTAGTGGTAGTAATAGTTATAATATAGTAGTCACAGTAGATAATATTATGTAGTATTATTATATTATGCGGTGTTAGTGTTTTATTTCTACCTATGGGATCTGGTGCGGGTATGGGCGAGGATGGCAAACCAGAATCGAATGAAGAATTACTGCATGCAACTCTTTTGTCACCGTAATCGTCCGAGTCGTAGTACGAGCTGCCACTGCTGCCGCTGCACAACGATGACGACGTGTCATCCTCACTGGACGATTCGTCTTCGTCGGACGAAGATGCGTTGTCGGCGGCGAGTGACGTGTTTGGGGCTGACGGAGGCGACGGCGGTGGCGGCGGCGACGGCGGAGGCGGTGGTGTTTCCAGGTTGACTTTGGGTTTTGGCTTTTCGAACTTACTCTTCGTGCTGCTCACTTGCGACGGTGATATGAACGTCTTACCAAAAGACGCGCGCACAAACGGCGTAATCACCGCGGGCGTCGCAACAGCGTTCGACGAACTACCTTTTTTTTGCGGTGAAGGGGTCTTTTTTTTCTGCAGCTCCCGCTTATCCTGCTTGTTTTTGGACGGGCCCTCCTTGTCTTTTTCCTCCTCTTCCTCCTCCTCATCTTCCTCCATTTTCTTCTTCTTGACCACCTTCTTTTTGACAATTATTTTCTTTTTCACCACTTTCGTCTTCTTCGCCGGCTCGCCAACAACTACACCACCTTTCGAATTATCATTATTACTCTGATTTTTATTAACTACAGTTTTTGCATGCTTTTTGTTGCTGTTGTTTTTTTTGTCGCTATCGTTGTCGTTATCATGCGACTTGCTGATTACTACGTTATGGTTAGCGTCGAGCTTACCGTTACCGCTGCTGCGACTGTCGCTCACTTTTTTCGCCGCATTGTTCAACTTGAACGTAAAACTTACCGGTTCGATCCCGCTCTCCTCGATAATCACGTCGTAGTTCAACTTCCAGTTACCGGCCTTTTTCTTGGCCAGTTTGTCCGCGTGTTCGCCGTACACCATAGCCGCGGCCACCGATTTTTTCCGCGTCTCCCTGGTCCTGTGCGGCTGCTTCCCACTCCCACCACCGACTCCGCCCATGTCCACCGGATAGCTCTTGCGCCGTATCCTTTTCTCTTGCCCTTCCATTTCCTCCATGATCATCGTGTCGAACAGCGCCTCCTGCTCGCGCAATATCTCGTCGGTAACGGACGGCCGCCGGTCGTCGTTCACCGGCACCTTGACGCCCGCAGACGTATGCCGCTTTATGGTGCCCTTCTTCGCCAGCCCTTCCTCGGGCGGCAAGGTAGCCGGCGGCTCGGCGGTCTGGACGACGGTCGTCGGTTCCTCCGCCGGTCGGTTATCCGCCGGTTTTTCCGGCCTCTTGCTGTTATTCTTGTTCGTGTGCAACCGGACCACCGTGCGGCCGCGGTGTATGACGCTGCCGCCGCCGACGTCCGCCGCCGCCGCCGCCGTTTCAGCCGCGGCCGTCCTCCGCGGCCGCCGGGGCGACGTCACGTCGATCTCCGAAGTGTTCACGTGCACCGGCCGGGCGTAGTGCCGGGCGGCCACCGCGCGCGGGCTACTGCGTATGGCCCTAAGCGTTTGCTCGACCACGATCGAGTTGTAGTTGCGAGCCGTGTGCACCCGGGGCGCAGATCTGCCGCCGGGGCTCGACCCGGGATAGGGCAGTAGCTGGCTGTAATACTGCGAGGAGAACGGAGCCGACCCGTGCAGGTAGTTGCCATAGTCAGTAAAAAACGGCATCGTGCAAGTTGTGCAAGTAATTATTAGTGTGTATGCGCTAAGTTCTAATCAAAAATGCATTGTTACGATTAGTCGTCGTCATATGGGTTGTACTGACCGAGTTAGTTAGATGATTTTCAAAAATAATAACGAGCACATTTTGAACACGGTACTGATGCGACATTAATGCGCGCTGAAGACTACGGACGCTTCCCGACCGAACGTACGGCTGAGCTGATGTGTCTTGGCACGTTTGGCAAGCTCCGAAAGCGAATTAAACGGCTTGGACGACGGCCAAAAGAAATTTAAAACACCAAATGCTTACACACAAACATATTTCTAAAATGACAAAAATTAGTTTCAATATACTCATCTTCTTGTGCATTAATTTATGTATTTCAAATTTCGCTTTCTTTTTCGGACCAAAGTTGAAGTGAACATTTTTTTCAACAATTTTTTCCAAAACACTTTGGTTTAAGACTATTTATATTTTGTTTTGTTTTGTTTGTTATGTTTTTTTTTTTTTTTTTTTTTTTTTTTTTTTTTTTTTTTTTTTTTTTTAATTAGTTTAGATATTTTTAAAACTTTTTACGGATAGTGACAATATTGTTCACTTAAAAACTTAAAATTAAATTCATCACTCAGCGCACCCGTCAACGATTTGAAAAATACTTTAAGAAAAAAAAAATAAAACATTGCACCGTGCAAAAATAGTTAGTCTCACCTAGTTTATGTTAAGGTCAACGTATTTTAACTAGCTATAAACATTTAGCTTTTTAGAATACTAAACCTTATGAGTTCACATTATATTTAAAAAAGGATCATTACAAGTAGGTACCCAATTGCGATGATTGTAAATGATCCGAAACTATTCACCCACGTTATAAACTCCACCAAGGTCAAAATTCAATAGTACTATTAAGAAAAAAAAAAATTGTCATTGCCAAGCATTATTGCAAGGTTTATGTACAACATTTTTTTGCCAAAGCGCCCACCTGAAAACACCAGATTGTCTAAAAAGCAGACCAAACATAATAAAATGGATACTTATTAATACATACGACATTTTTGATAGATTAAATTTGGCAACTATGATAAACTGTGACACAACTTCGTAGTGCACATGATATTATGCTTATATATATATTATATATCAATAACTCATTAAATTTTGGTCTTTAATCTCACAATATGTTTTTAATTTATCTAAATTTGGATTTTTAAATATTAAAGTTCCTTTAACTAAGTATTTGCATTCAAATATTAAATTTACCTAATAAGTAATATTTTACATAAGTTTAAACTAATATAAAAAATGTTATCAGAAACATGTTTTAATTATTAAGTACATAATATTAGTTTCTTTATTACACGTAAAATGCTTTTAAATTCGTTTACCCAAGCAATGTGAACTTTGAAAGTTGGCCATATGGAATGTTAGTTTATGCCAAATACCATATAAACTTTAAAAAATAGAATAATGTCAAATTTATGTTACGGTAAATTGGTGAATTGACAGATTGGGTATCATCCAAGTTCCAATAAACATAGTAGTAATAACACCTCAGTGCAAAAGATGTTAGAAAATGGTGATTAAAAACCGATTGTATTTTTCGTTTGAAATCATCATACATAATCTTTAATCGAAATGCAATGCATGTGTTATAAAGTATAGGATAGCTTTTGAAAAAATTAAGTTTTGGCGAAACGTCAAGCTAAAAATGACTTAGTCCGGATTGATTATAAAAACATTTTCTTGGCACATCGGAACGCGGACTGTTTTCGCAATTAAATTTCTTGTGATAATCAACAACAATAATACTAACACTCGTAGTGTTTATTTACTTAGACAAAACATTGAACCATGTCGTAAAAAATTGCCTTATCTATTGATTTATTTCGAAATTATAAATATAAATGCAATTGACTTTATAATTGTTATAATGCACAATATTAAGTAAAATATGTTAAACAAACATGGTTTTCGATTGGATATTTGCCATAAAAAAAACCTCATACCTACAGCGACATCTTTCCCATGAATTGAGCTAGCCACAAGATGAATATTAAATGTTATGTTAAAACATATATGTTATTATTTGTTTACATGTTTTAAATGTTGTGTTTTACTCATAATAACGTACATACTGTGCTTAGGTATACTATAAAAATAAGTCATACCTTCACATTTGAGACCTTGTTTGAACAATCCGTACAAAAGTGAACCGCAGTGATCACAAAATGTTGGTGACATGAAATTATATCCTTTAAAACGATGTGGTACATCTATTTTGAACCGTTCTCTTAAATACTGTAAAGCAATATAAATTAAAATTTCACTATTATAGCTTTAAAAAAATACATTGATTAATCTACATCAACTAAGTGCGTGGTACAGTATAAAACAAACTGAATCTAACATAATAACTGTTTTAAAAAAAGTTTTACATAGTAAAATACTACTAGACCATAAAATGTATTTGATAAGTAACCTCATAAAATGTAGGTAACTACCTCGTATCTATTTATTTTATAATATAAGCATAAAGTGCTCGTTGATGTTAAGTACCTAGTTAAAAATTAGTCTTATTACCAGCATATATTTTGTTAGTAGTTTAAATTCGATCATATTCTAGGCAATTTATATTTATATTTTAAAAATAATTATTGCAGTACTGAACAATAAAAATAATTATTCAAAAATCATAAATTTCTTATAAAGTAAAAGCATATTTTTAGAATTCAAACTATGTAATGCATGCTGAGCACCTCATACATAAATTAATAAAAATACTAACGCATAGTAGCCGTCGTCTCATATAACGTTACGTTCATCACATACAACTATTGTAAATTAAATGTTTAGATAATTAAATTATTAGATAAGTACTGAAAATATTGATTGTCTTATTTGCTTTTTCATAAATTGTCGATAAATAGTCACTCTTTTGATATAAGCGCCTATTTAATTTTATTATATGTGACATTTTAATAATCATTGTCAGTATTATTGCTTACTTCTTACATTAATTATTACTTAGATAGATTTTAATTTAATTATAATCTCTGAAATCTCTCCAAATATTGTATAATTCAATCAACTAAAAATAATAGAAAACACAAATTTTATTAAATTTAAGATACCTACTATAATAAACGTGTATTAATCAAAATAAATGGTAAGTATTGAAGTCTAAACTCTAAGTTTAAATTGTAATAATAATTATCTTATAATTTTAAATTTAAATCAATTTACTGTGAAAATAAATATGATGGAAAACATTTACCTACACCAAATAACAACAAGACAATTTTTTGTATACATTTTAAATAGCTTTTGAAGTTTTAACTTAAACACACATTTATAAGTGATATAAGAATATAATTTATCTATATAAATTTGTAATAACTAAAAAAAAGTAATATATAGGTAAAAATTTCCTTAGATTAGTAATGGAGTACTTATGCTCAGTATCCATTAAACTCATAACAAATGATACAATCAGTGGTGCAAAAATTGTGCTAAGGAACTTTCAGAACTTTTAAAACTACCCAACATATTTTTATACGCGCAGTTTAAAAAAAAAATCACTTAACAATCAAAATTTAGGAAACTAAAAATTATTCTCATATTATAATAAGTGTGCCTACTTAATAGTACTACTACTATATTTGATCATAATAAAAAATTACAATTTATCACAAATAAAAATTCTTTTTTTTTTTTAAGTCACTTCTCAGACTGAACATAGGTTGCTGTTAATTGAGCTCAATTAAAATCACATACACCATTATAGCAATGAAACTAAATAATTTACGTTAATACAAAAAAAAATTAAATGCATAAAACTGTTTAGAATTTTTAAAACAAATAGTTGTATACAATTATGATAAATAAGTATCGCCGAGAACTTACATATTTTAGGTACTGGCTAAATCATATTTACAACTAACCATTTAGAATTGCCACTATATTTGTTAGACCTACCGTTAAAATAAATTTTATAGTGACATAATCACTACTTGGCTATTTTCAAATTATTCAAAAATCTGAAAATTCACAGTTGTCTAACATGTGACAGCGTTTTATATTTTATGTTTTAAAAGCGTGAACTAAATTGATATTATAATTCATTCAATTTATTCTTCTGTACGCTATATTATTAAAGTCAGTAAACTAAGCATTTCTAATTACTCAACAATGTAGCCTTTAGTATCAATATTATTTTTCGTTTTCGGCTTTAGGTAGCATTTTTTCTATTATTTGTCCTATTAGCCTTTCTGGTAATTTTCTATTCGAATAAAGGTAAAACTTTGCTTATCTGATATATTTTTAAATAATCACTAATTCAGGTATTTTACCACCAACGTTTAAGATAACTTTGTTCTAAAATCTGGTTACAAGTCTATTTTTTCTAATTATTAGCCGATTTCCGTTCAATATCATATTTCAAAAATGTTTGAGTTTCTACTTTTAAATGTTATCTAACCGTAAAATCATCTGTTAACCGTATCCTTGCGTAAAAACAACTCAGTTTTTGACTAAGGCGATCTACTACTACTATACTACCACTATTTATACTAATACAGTTAAACCTCAGCGCAAGAACTTTTTATGGAGAAGTTTATAAAAAAATTGTTACATTTATTTTAATATTTTAAGTATATGAAACGTATATTCAAAATTATTTATTAACTATAGATTATACTTCAAAAGTCTTAAAGTTCAATTCTGAAATTTCTTTTTAATTCAATAAAACTAATAGCTGTTTATAATTTAATTGCAAAAATATGATTTGGGGCGATGTTGGTTGAACTCCTATCAGTCCTATCCCCTCCCTCACTGATATTAACTTAATTGCAGAATCTTGTATTTAAAACTATATTTTCAACAAATGTAGTTGAATTTATAATCAATTTTATCGACAAACTCTTATAGTAGTTATAGGTATAATATAGGTATAACTAAAATAAAGAATTTAATTCAATGAACCATATTATAGCTCTTAGTTTATTTTTATTCTTATTCTTTACTATTTTGATATATATTAGTCACTTAAATTCTAATTTATGGCTATCTTACTAAATACTAGTATAAACAAAGTTTTTTATTAAATCTTTAACAATAATTGTCGAAAAATAATATTTCATGTCATTAAAAAATACACTTAAATTAATAGTGAATATAAAATAGATACTATTATTGCTTTAATCAGTGACATAGATATAATTTTTACTGGGGACGAGCTTTATTTTCTATTTAATTTATTTGTAACTCATAAATAATGTAATATGTATTTAAAATAAATTGATAATATACTAATACTCATAATATATAATAATTGTTATAAACATT